ATAATTACACGCAATGTTTGAACGAAGAGATTGAAATGACTCGCTGTTAATCATGTATACAATCTAAATTACACGATATCCGAATCGAGGATCGAATTTTGCAGGACACGCGATCTTTATCGCGCTGTACACTGTACCCAAGAGTTTTTCGGCGATCGCGGAAATTACGTTGGCGGGTCGCATGCCAATGATGCAATGCTTGGAGCCAATTTTTTTGTATCATAAAGTATCGACAACGACTGGTCATGTTACGGTATCGTGAACTCGTTTGAATCCTTTTTTGTATTGTCCATTTGTGAGCGCACTGTCTTTGTCTATCACTATGAATCCATATTTTTGTTGCCAACAGTCGCGGCACAACGTGCAAAATTTGTCGTACGACACGTCGGTATTCACATAATCGTTGTAAACGTGTTTCAAATTGGTACCATCCTATTTGAACAAGATCAGAAAGTTCGTGTTGTCGCGTATTAGATGTTTAGGTATCCTAGCGTACGTTTGACAGATAGAAGCAGTCGACGTTCGCATGACAACCCATCGAAAAGTATTCTCTCACCGCATTCTGCTTGTCGCATGCCACATCATCAAAGATAAAAATAGAAATTGGACGCGCTTCACTCGGTGGATGTCGCTGTTGTTGAAGAACATAAAGTAGCCGATTTTGTTGATAGATGTAAACAAATTTTCGAGACTTTGGCTGTAACAACAATTTCGAATAGACGACACGTTCTTGAAACGTACGCCGTTCGGGCTTTCGAGTAAGGTTATGAGAAGATTAGTTTTACCGCATTTTGACGGCCCGCAAATGATTCTCCTAATGTCGCTGCGACGAGCACTACAATCAGTCGTAGCAGCGGATGCACATCGATGGTCCCGCACCTAAGATAAAGGATTGTAGTGAATGTCAGCGTCGGGCAGTAGTCTGTTGAATCGAACGATAAACGCGGTTTCTTTCGAATTACATATTCCGGGCTATCAGTTTTGCGTCCCGAACATTCGGCTTACGAAGCTATTAGCCAGAAGTGACGCGGGCATAAATCCGCTGGACGCGGCGTGCCGAAAATGACATTGCGTATTCGCACAACAACGATCTCACCGATAGACACGCAGCAGACAAGGTACTAGTCTGTTGCGTGAAAATGCATTACCGGGAGTAATTTGGCTCTGAGCGAGAGAGCCGCCGCTGCGGCCGTCTGGGCAGCCATGAAAGCCAAGATCAAGATCGGCATGGGCATGAAACCAAAAAAGAAAACTATGAGGAAAAAGGCGACGAAAAAGTGGATACTTTTAATGACAAAACGAAACGATGCATTACTGTTTCTGCCAATGTTAGGCGCGCTCGGGTCCTTGATCCTTGAGGCGGAGAGGCTAGCATGGCAAAAGCGATTAACGACAGCAAAACCGCGCGACGTCAGCTCAAAGAGCTGCAACGTCACAAGCGCGATGGAATAGGGCCGTGGACTGTATCTCGCTTCGTACTAATACGGACACGGACTGTATCTCGGCCCATATAAACACGGACAGGGTGTAACTGCAAAGAAAAAAAAACGCCAAAGAGACGATAAAAATGCCGTCTGGCGCAACT